CACCTTAGGTGTATGTGGCTGGCGCCTTAGCCACTTGAGCCACAGGCACCGAGCCCGATTGTTCTTTTTTGATGCCAGATTTTCAAAGTCACCCCTGTCTGTGGTTTTTGCATTTGTGTGGGGTTTTTTTTTTGTTTTTTTCTTTGAGACAGAGTCTTACTTGGTCACCCCTAGTACAGAGTGCGATGGCATCCTAGCTTACAGCAACTTCAAATTCTTGGATACAAGTGATCCTCTTGCCTCAGCCTCCCAAGTAGCTGGGACTACAGGTGCCCGCCACAATGCCTAGTTGTTTTTTGTTTTTCTTTTAGAGACAGGGTCTCGCTGTGGCTCAGGCTGGTCTCGAACCTGTGAGCTCAGGCATGAGCCACCGCTCCCAGCTGTCATTTGGTTTTTTAAAATAAAAAACTTTTCTGAAATAAAAGAGATTCACAACACACAACTAGAACTCAAATTTTTGTCAAGAGTATACACACCTATAATCCTAACACTCTGGGAGGCTGAGACGGGTGGATTGCCTGAGCTCACAGATTCGAGATCAGCCTGAGCCAGAGCGAGACCTCATCTCTAAAAATAGCCAGGTGTTGTGGTGGGTGTCTGTAGGCCTAGCTACATGGAAGGCTGGAGTCAAGAGAATTGTTTGAGCCCAGTCTTCTTTAGTAAGATTTTATCTTATAAAATCCTGCCAATTTTAAAATAATATAACTTTTAAAAGTTGTTTTACTAGTATTGAAGGCTAACAAGTCTGTGTCAATAAAGAGTAGTTGTTGAGAGTAGTGCTTGGGATATCAGTAGACTCAAGTTCTTTGGTCTGGAATTCTGACTTGAAACTCTGATTTTGTGAAGATTACTTAAAGAATAATGTCACATCTCTACAAGGCAGTGTTGTAAATCTGAGTTTATATTAGGTTTTAAAAATAGTAGGAAAATACAGTAATAACTTATAAATACATACTTATTTCAGGCACATTTCCTGATGCTCAGCTTCCTTCTAAGAGGATTATTGGCCCCAAAAACTATGAATTCTTAAAGTCAAAGAGAGAAGAATTTCAGGAATATCTACAGGTATAGCACCAACTATATTAATTTAAAACTTTGCTAATTGTTGTAGTATCTCTTTTGTCTCTTTTTCTCCTGTATATTTGTGCTTTGCTTTATATATACCTGTCCATGTGGACTGAAAGTTTTTTTAATTTAAAACAGCTTTTTCCATATGGATTTTAAAATGAATTTTTGTCAAGAGTATACTTTGTTTTTCTTTTAAATTTATAACCAATGAAAAAACATTTTATTGGGGGAAAAAGTTTCTTAATTTTAAGCTAATTAAAGTTTTGTATGGGAAGTTTCAAAAAAAGAAAGAAAAACTTTCAGTGTAAAAGATGAAATGCAATCTAAGAATAATGGGTGTTATTTTTGTTGTTTGTTTGATTTTGTGTTTAGTACCTTCTGTACTTTTGGAATCTTTCCTCCTATTCTATTCTTCAGTACCTTTTCTTTTGCAGTTCTCATGCTTTTTCAGTTTCCTGGGAGAAGGATCAGCTACCATTTGCCACTTGGAATTGAGTTCTCTTTTCCTGAGTGTGTGCCCATTACATTATGTTAAAAATGTAATTGGTATATTATTTCAACAGATAGTATGGTCAGCATACAAGTTACTTACTTGAGATGATTCTCTTTCTTTATCAAGTGTATGAGACCAAAGAGGATGATCTTATTTGCTTTTTAGAAAAAGTCTCTTTATGAAATCAATATATAACCACCTACACAATCATACAAATGACAAAACATAACTATAGTCCATAAAGTAGAAGGGAAGAGGAGGGAGAGGAGTGGGGAGAGGGGATATGGGAGAAGGGAGGGTATTCGGGGGGACCTCACCTAATGTGCATGATGCAGTGGTACATTTCAAAACTATTAAGAAATGAATATAATTGTGATAGATGTGTTACTTGGTTCAATGTAAACATTTCACATTATATATTGAAGCAGTACCCTGAGCCCCATAAATGTGTCAGTATACAAAGTTATGATTTAATAAAAAATAATTATAAAAAAAAGAAAAAGACTTTTATTTGGACATAGAATTTTATAGCTTTTTATTGTAGTTTCAGTTAAATATGGATGCCTTCTAGAAAAAAATAAGTACTTTTTTTTTTTTTTTAAGACAGAGCCTCAAGCTATCCCCTTGGGTAGAGTGCTGTGACATCACAGCTCACAGCAACCTCCAACTCCTGGGCTCAAGCGAGTCTCCTGCCTCAGCCTCCCAAGTAGCTGGGTCCACAGGTGCCTGCCACAATGCCCAGCTATTTTTTGGTTGCAGCCATCATTGTTGTTTTTGGCAGGCCCGGGCTAGATTCAAACCTGCCACCTTAGGTGTATGTGGCTGATGCCTTAGCCACTTGAGCTACAGGCGCTGAGCCAAAAATAAGTACTTTTTAAATTAAAAGTATTCAGCAATGTAAAGAAGTTTGCATTTTTTTTCCTCTAGCTGAACTATTGATTGTTTTCAACATAAGGCATTTTTTGTATAGCTTTTAGGTGGTACAAAGATTGAGATATAAAATAACTTAATTATTGTAGGAATGTTTGAATATGTAACATAAACCTGTTTCTTTGTTGACCATCTAACCCTAACCCTAACTGACTTGTTTTAAAAACTGGAGTACCTCGTTCTAGAACAAATATTTTCTGGTAATATGGATTTGTATTAGAGATTGTTCTACTGGTACTTTATGTAGATTTCTGCTCCTAAACTTCTGTAACTATTTCATAGTTAGAAAACTGACTGTTAGGCCCAGTTCAACGCCTGTAATCCTAACACTCTGGGAGGCTGAGGCAGGTGGATTGTCTGAGCTCACAGGTTTCAGATCAGCCTGAGCCATAATGAGACCTTGTCTCTAAAAATAGCCGGGCATTGTGGCAGGCGCCTGTAGTACCAGCTACGTGGGAGGCTGAGGCAAGAGAATCATTTGAGCCCAAGAGTTTGAGATTGCTATGATCTATGATGCCATGGCACTCTACCAAGGGTGGCAAAGTGAAACTCTGTCTCAAGAAAAAAAACAAAAAGAAGAAGAAGAAAGAAAACTGACTATTAGATAAGCCTAGTTTAGTTTTGACTTTTAAAAGTCAGTTTATCTTGTTAGAAAGTAGTGTTTAAGAACAGACAACAGCTTTTCCAAATTATTTCAAAAATTTACATTCACTTTTCTGCAAAACTCTTTATGCTGACCTTTAAAAATTATCAAGGAAGTTATATTTTATAGTTGAGAAACTAGAAAATAAATTATTAGCTAAACTTCCTGTATATCAGATACTGTGTAAAATGCTTTATACAACAATGTTATAAAGTAGTTAGTGTTGTTATCTCATTTTATACATGAGGAAACCTACTTTTGGATAATGTAGGATCTTTTCTTGGGTCACCTACTGGCATGTAGAAGAGCCGAAATTCAAATGCATACATGTCTGACTGTAAGGACTGAAAAGTTCTTACCCACTGTCCTGTACTATTCCCTCTATAAATACAGGACTTTGTTGTTATTCTAACTATAAAATAGCTTTTGGGGATTTAAGATTTTAAATAATTTTAATACAGTTTTTGATTTATTCTTAAAGATTTCTGAACTGTTTTTCTTTTTTTTTTTCATTCAAGAAACTTCTGCAGCATCCTGAACTGAGTAATAGTCAACTTCTAGCTGACTTTCTCTCCCCTAATGGTGGGGAGACACAATTTCTCGATAAGATATTACCAGATGTAAATCTTGGTAAGTCAATTTAAAGAATCATATAAGAGAAAATACTGAAAAGATTCAGCATTTTCAGATTAGTTTAGAAAAATAGTTTAGATAGTATAACCATGTGGAGAACTTCAGGGATCTCATACATTCAGAATCAGGGTTACATGACAACTTTAACCTGTCCATTTTGTGAGTAGTGATTATTTAAGCAGTCACTTCTAGCCATATGTCCTATAACAAAAAGTTATGTTACCTTAGCCAATGTATTTTTTATCTATTCATTTTATTTTAAATTTCCTTATTTTGTAAATTTAAATATAAGAAAAGTAGGGATGGCATTTTTAGCATATATGAACATGTCTTTTCAGCATATGATATTTTAATTTCTCATAAAATACCTCAAAAAAGAGAGGTATTTGACATTTGGCTGCTTAAGGCTTAGCTGTTGTTTCCTTAATCTTTTAGTTATATGATATTTCCTTATTTATATTCTTAGCATTATAAATATTCCTTGAAGCCTAATTTTCTTTGGATAGCTTATAGTAGTAATTCAGATAAGTAAACTTTGTATAAACTGACTTAACGTCAATTAATCTTAATAGCATTCTGAACAAATTTTATTTTATGGTACTTTGATACATGATTTTATTTTTAATTTAAAGTTTAACTATTGGCTATAAAACTCTGACATGGAATATATACATGAGATATCCTATGCGGGAAAATACCACTTTGAATCTCAGTGTTTTTTATTTGTTTTGATTATTTATTTATTTTTTTTTGAGACAGAATCTTTGCCACTCTCAGTGGAGTACTATGGCATCATAGCTCACAGCAACCTCAAACTCTTGGGCTCAAATGATCCTCTTGCCTCAGCCTCCTGAGTAGCTGGGACTACTCAGCTCACAAGCTCATAAGCCTGGCTATTTTTAATAAAGATAGGGTCTTACTTGTTTTTTTTTTTTTAAGAGACAGGGTCTCACTTTGTTGCCCTCAGTAGAGTACTGTGGCGTCACAGCTCACAGCACTCTCCAGCTCTTGGACTTAAGTGATTTTCTTGCCTCAGCCTCCCTAGTAGCTGGGACTACAGGCACCCGCCACAACGCCTGGCTATTTTTGTTGCAGTTTGGCCTGGGCTGGATTTGAACCCACTACCCTCAGTATATGGGGCCATTGCCCTACTCACTGAGCCACAGGCACTGCCCTGGGGTCTTAACTTTTTCTCAGGCTGGTCTTGAACCCATGAGTTCAAGTGATCCACCTGTCTCAGCCTCCTAGAGTGCTAGGATTATAGGTGTGAGTCCTGCACTGACTGTTTTGATTTTTTTTTTCTTTTTTTGAGACAGAGCCTCAAGCTGTCACCCTGGGTAGAGTGCTGTGGCATCACAGCTCACAGCAACTTCTAATTTCTGGGCTTAAGCGATTCTCTTGTCTCAGCCTCCCAAGTAGCTGGTATTGTTTGGTTGTAGTTGTCATTGTTGACAAACTTAAGCCCACCGCAATGCCAGCTATTATTTGGTTGTAGTTGTCATTGTTGTTTGGCGGGCCTGGCTGGATTTGAACCCACCAGCTCTGGTGTATGTGGATGGCGCCTTAGCCACTTGTGCTATAGGCGCCAAACCTGTTTAGATTTTTTTTATTAATAATTTAGAAAAATAATTTAGGTAAATAAAATCTTGATCTTTTGTTTCAGGGTAACTTTGTAATTAGTAAAACCATTTCTCAGTAAGTAGATTGCTTTATTTTCACTGGTGTTATTTTAAAGGAAATTAAAGATGCATCAGAAAAATATTAGTTCTTTTTTAAAACACATTTCTTAAGGCCAGGCATGGTGACTCACTCCTATAATCCTAGCACTCTGGGAAGCTGAGGCAGGTGGATCGCCTGAACTCACGGGTTCAAGACCAGGCTGAGCAAGAGCAGATACCTTCTCTAAAAATAGTGGGGGCATTGTGGTGGTCCCTGTAGTTCCAGGTACTTGGGAAGCTTAGGCAAGAGAATCGCTTGAGCCCAAGAATTTGAGGTTGCTATGAGCTATGATGCCACAGCACTCCACCCAGGGTGACAGAGTGAGACTCTATCTCAAAAAAAAAAAAAAGTTAATTTTTTGTTATGACAGATATAAAATTCATAGTCAAAGCACAGTCTCTGGAATCCTGAAGACATTTTAATTTTTACTATTAGAGACTGAAATTGGTATCGTCTGAAGATAATGTTTCAAAAAAAATTTTTGTGTTATATTATGAACATTTAATTCCAGCTGTCACTTTTGGATGTATTATTTATTGTGCTTTGTTTAAATAGCAATAAGGTCAACAGAAATCCAGATAGATTGTTTTCTCTAACCGTTAATATATTACGTACATTGTAAGTATACATCAAAAGTAAAAATATAAAAAAAGGTTCAATTAAATAAATAATGGTTCTAGAATTTTCCAGAGAATTACCTCACAGAGCTCCTGGAGTATACACATTCTGCTTTGGAGACTACTAGCTTAAATTTGCTTCTGATCCGCACCACACCTGCTGACAATTGGTGACCTCATTGCTACCAAAGGCTGAGGCATTTTCTGACCCTCTTTTATAGATCCTTCTCTGCAGTCATTAGTGCATGCTGTTCTTAACCGGCTTACTACCCTTTCTGTTCCTCCATTTTGATCCTGCACAAATCTCTTTCTGTGTCCAGCTTGTAAGTACATAGTGTTGATGTTTCCCAAGGGTATATCTTCAGTTTTCTCCTTCTGGTCTCAGCATCATGTATTACTTCAGGGCCTACCTACACACAAATGTTTGCAAATGTAGTCTGACCTTTAGTAACATTATTTCCCTAACCAGCTGGACATCACCACCTGATCTCTTGCTGCCTATTCAGAACTAACAGCTAATTCTATAAATGGTAGTGCAGTCACCTCAGTCATGCTGGAAGCTTTTAGCATTACTTTGGATTTTTGTCTTTTTAGTTCCCAAATTCTGCTAGTTTTATCTCTTTGGTATCTAACTCACATCATCTTGTTTGTACCCATTACCATTTCCTTAATTCAGGTTTTCAGTGCCTTTTCTTTTTAATGAAAGAGTCAGGATCTCATTTTCACCCAGGATGGAGTGCACTGGCACGATCATAACTCACTTCAACCTTGAATGCCTGGACTCAGGCGATCTTCCTGCCTCAGCCTCCCAAGTAGCTGGGATTACAGGTGTGTGCTACCGGGCCCAGCTGATTTTTAAAATTTTGGGGAGAGATGACATCTTGCTGTGTTGCCCAGTCTGGTGTTGAACTCCTGGCCTCTTAAGTGATCCTCCTGCTTTAGCCTCCCAAAGTATTGTGATTATAGGCATGAGCCACCATGCCCAGCCTGTCCCTGCCTCTTACTTGAACTTCACTAACTTTTTCTAACCAGACTCCTAGATGCTCACTGTTCTGTTCTCACCCATATTATCTCACCTGACACAGCCAGATTAACATGTAACATATAGCTTTCTGTTAGCATAGACAGGCTTTATTCCCTAATTTGAAATTCTCTGACAATCACTATGTGTATTGATACCAATACATCTTACCAGTTTTGTCTCTTATTACTTCCTTTCATACTTTATAGCAAAACTGAACCCTTTATGTTCCTTTTGCTCCAGTGCTTTTGTATCTGTTTCCACCTTAAATGCTCTTCCACTGTAGCTGTATGTTTACAACTCCTCATCTTTGAAGATACAGCTGAAAGAAAAGAACACCTACTTCTGCTCAGCAAATCAGGGAAGGCTTTCTTAGGAAGATACCATTTGTCTAGATCTTGACAGGCATGTATGAGAGGCATCAGTGTGAATGTATGTAAGAGAGTGAGGCCATAACTTATGGCTAGATGTGTCATGAAGAAATTTGGACTTGATCAATTGAGTGTATGTAAGAGAGTGAGGCTAGACAGATAACTTATGGCTAGATGTGTCATGAAGAAATTTGGACTTGATCAATTGAACAACGAGGAAGAGCCACTAGTAGGTTATCAATAATGGAATTACCTAGTTAGATTTGGATTTCAGCCGTACACCCCTGCCGGGAGATTAGAGGACAGTACTGAAGGCAGTTAGAATCAGTATCTGGGAATAAACCTGGAGTATGTATGTGTAAGACCCTTACAGAGAAAAGTATAAACTTTTATTGAGGGATATTAAAGAAGACCCAAGTAAATAGAGAAAAACTACATTCATTGTTTAGAAGCCACGATATAATAAAGATTAAAATTTTCCCCTGGGTTGATTTCTAGATATAATGCAATCCCAGTCAAGATGAAACAGAGTGTGTGTGTCCTGACAAGCTGAATCTGTAATTTATATGAACATGCATTGGACCAAATAGCTAACACACTTTAGAAGAACAAAGAGAACTCTCTCATTTATTTTGACTTAAACACTGTATTAATCAGTAGACCCATGGAACAGAACAGAGGGCCCAAAACAGATCCGTGTATCTGAGGACACTTGTGAGCAAGGTCCTGCAGAGTGGAAAAGGCACTGACTTTTGAAGAAATGCTGTTGGGTCATTGGGTATACATTTGAACTCTAACAGAAAAACAAATGTAGGTGAATTAGAGTCCTATGAACATTTTGGGAAATTGCTGAAATAAACCCACCTGTTTAGCCAACTAATTTTTGACCAAGTTGCCAAGAAAATGCATTGGGGGGGCAGCACCTGTGGCTCAAAGGAGTAGGGCACCTGCCCCATGTGCTGAGGGTGGCGAGTTCAAACCCAGCCTCAGCCAAAAACTGCAAAAAGAAAAAGAAAGAAGAAAATGCACTGGGGAAAGGGTACCTTCTTCAATAACTAATGCTGGGAAAACTGGGTATCAATACACAGAAGAATGCAACTAGACCCATATCTATTAACATATACAAAAATCAACTCAAACAGGCTAAAACCTGAATGTAAGATCCAAACACTTCAGGACATTGGTTAAGGCAGAGACTTTATGGCTGAGGCTCAGTGCCCGTAGCACAGTGGTTATGGCACCAGCCACATGCACTGCGGCTGGTGGGTTCAAACCTGGGCTAGCTAAACAGCAGTGACAATTGCAACAATAAAAAATAGCCAGGCATTGTGGTGGGCACCTGTAGCCCCAGCTACTTGGGAGGCCGAGCTAAGAGAATTGCTTAAGCCCAAGAGTTGGAGGTTGCTGTGAGCTGTGATGCCACGACACTCTACCGAGAGTGACATAATGAGACTCTGTCTCAAAAAAAAAAAAAATTTTGGCTGAGACTTCAAAAGCACACGCAATAAAAGGAAAAATAGACAAATGGGGCTATATTAAATGAAAAGGCTTCTACACAGGAAAGGAAACAAACAACATAATGAAGAAACAACCTGTAGAAAGGGAGAAAATATTTGGGAATATTCTAAATTCAATAAGAAGACATTACAATAGAAAAATAGAAGAAAAGGCACTTTATAGATGAGGAAGTTCAGATTGCCAAGAAATATATGAAAAAGCACTTAATTACATTAATCAAGGAAGTGCAAATTAAAATTATACTGACATAATACCATATTGATCAAAGATTTAGAAACTCTGATAATCTCAAGTGCCAAGTGTTGGTGGTTATGTAGATAATAAGAGCTCTTACATATTACTCTTATACCTCAAGTGCACAATAGGACTAAATTGGAAAACTACTCAGAAAAAATGATTTGGTATAAAAACTAAATGACTCAACATTTTTTCTCTGAGATAGATAGGATAATATCATATCCATTTCTAAGAATGTTCATAGCAGTATTACTTTGTTTTGTTTTGAGGCAGAATCTCGCTCTGTTGTACCAGGCAGAGTGCAGTGTCATTGGCACAGCTCACAGCAACCTCAAACTCCTAGGTTCAGGAGATCCTCCTACCTCAGCCTTCCAAGTAGCTGAGACTACAGAAGCATGTCATCATGCCTAGCTAATTTTTCTATTTTGTTTTTTTTGTAGACACAGGGTCTGGCTCTTGCTCAGGCTAGTCTTGAACTCCTAATCTCAAGGGATCTTACCACGCTGGCCTCCCATAGTACAGGGATTACAGGCATGAGCCACCATGCCTGGCTTGCAGCATTGTTTTTAATAGCCAGAATTGGAAAAAGCACAGATGTTGTTCAGTGATAGAATGGACAGATAAACTGATAGATTTATAACATTGAATACCTATGGCAAAGAATGCCTATAGCAGGAAGCTATTGATAAGTGTCACAATGTTGAATGAAAGAAGCAAGACACAAAATAATCCATCCAGCATGATTCTTTTTATATAAACTTCAAAGCAGACCTAACTGATACAAGCTGGAATGAAATTATTGAAAATAATATGGGGTAAAAGCAATATTTCTAAATAAATTTTATGTGATATAATCCTATATGTGTGGAACTAAATAAGTGAATTAAATATTGCAAGTAGGTATTTTGACTTCTGTTTATATTACCCCCAATTAATACATTTATTTATTTATTTATTTTTCTTTTCTTTTTTCTTTTTTTTTTTTTTTTT